GCCCCGCGTGCACAAGGTAAGCGGCGCCTGCCAGGCGGGCCGGAGGGGCCCCGCCGTGTCCAACGGGGGGTCCCGCGCCCGTCCCCGCGGCCTCGGGCCACGCGGGAACCGCTGCGGCCCCCGACGGGCCTCGCGCGCCCAGAGGGAGGAGGCGAGGGGGCCTCCCCGTGGGTGCGATGAGAGCGGCCGTTCTCGGCCGGACGTGGCGGCTCCCCCCCGCTTCCCGCTGCCGGCCGGGCTGCCTCCCCCGTCCGGCCTCGAAGGGGCGTCCGGGAGGAGGCGCCGCTGCCACAATAAGGGCGATTGTTCGGACAGCGGCTGGTTTTGTGTTTAAAAAGAGGGGAAAAAAAAAAAAAAAAAAGAGAGAGAAGAAAAGCGGGGCAGAATCGGAGCGTGCAGCGCACACAGGGGCCCTCTGTGCCCGGCCGGGCGCCGGAGCGGGGCGGGCGCCGGGGCCGCTGCGAGGGCGGGCGGGGGAGAGGCACGTTCCGCGGGCGGGGGCACCGGGGGCTACGGGCCGGAGCGGGCCGGTCCCGGGACGCAGCGGCGCCCGCTGACCCCCCTTCCGCCCCGCAGGGCGCCGGGAGCCGCCGCTGCTCCCCGTGCGACTCCCCGCAGGAGCACAGGTAGGAGCAGCCCCGGTCCGGTCCTGGGCGCAACCGGGACTTGCTTTGGGCTCCAGCCGGGACAGTGGGTGCGGGGCTTGGGATGCCACAGCAATGAGGGGAAAGAGGGAACCCTCTTCCTTCCCCCCCAACAAAACTCGAGGCTGGGGCACCAACCAAGCGCCCGCAGCCCCGGCGTGGCCGGGCTCTCACCGTGGCTCCCCACAGGCGGGTGGTGACGCTGGAGAAGGCAGCGGAGGAGGCGTTTGGCTTCGAGATCCAGGTGAGCCCCACAGCCTTCCAGCTCCTCGCCTTGGCCCAGGGTAGTTTTAAATAATCTCCGAGCCAGGCATTATTTTTAGCGCTGATGGAGCCGCCCAGGGTGCCACAGGCTCCTATGGGTGGCTGAAGGGGGACGGGGGAGACCCCAGTGCCCCTCACCCCCGTGCCTCCTCCCAGACGTACGGGCTGCACCACCAGAAGAGGAACCGTGTGGAGATGTTCACCTTCGTGTCCCGTGTGCGTGACGGCAGCCCGGCTGCTGCCGCGGGGCTCCAAGCCGGTGAGCACCCCCCTCTGCGGGCAGCGAGCGGGCAAGGGGGGCCCAGGCGTCCGACTGAGCCTTGTCTTGGCAGGTGACACCATCACGGGCATCAACGGGCTCAACGTGGAGGGCGTGCGGCACCGGGAGATCGTGGAGATCATCAAGAGCTCCGGTGACGTGCTCAAGTGAGACGGCCAGTTCCCCCCACCGTGTCCTGCTGTCCCCATGTCCCTCCCCGTCACCCATGCCTGGCTCTGCCCCGCAGGCTGGACACGCTCTACGGCACCTCGGTGCGCAGGGCCGAGCTGGAGGCCCGGCTGCAGTACCTCAAGGTGAGCTGGGGGCTGTGGGGGGGTCCTGTGCCCCCTAGCAGGGTGCCTGAGCCCCCCAACACCAGCCCCCTCACGCACCCTGTCCCCCCCGCAGCAAACACTCTACGAGAAGTGGGGCGAGTACCGCTCGCTGATGGTGCAGGAGCAGCGCCTGGTGCGCGGTGAGCAAGGGGACGCGGCGGGGAGGCGGGCAATGCAGGCAGCCCCCTGATGCCCCCTCCCCAATTGCATCCCCCCCCCCCAAGGCGTGGTGGCCAAGGACCCCAGCATCTACGCGACGCTGGAGTCGCTGCGCTGGTGCCTGCGGGGCACGGGGCTGCCGGGGGGCTCCTCGCCGCCGCTCAGCGCCGCCAGCGACGACTCCCTCTACCA